TAGAATAGAAGTTATCCTAATGAGTTTAGGATAAGTGCTATAAGTTCTGTTCTCCTTGAGTTTAGGAGTTATCCGAAAAGGATGTTTATCTAATGAGCTTAGGGTTTTACCTTTTCGTATATAAGCATGTTGTAACATTAACTTGAGAAGTTGTGAGTTTGAGATATTAATATAAGTGAGTACTTATTGAGACACAGAGCTTTGAATCATTGTGTTTACATTTCAATACAGATCGTCTGCAATATGAATGTAAATGAAGTATATTATTCGTTGTCTACAATTGATCGTCTTCTCCCCGTTCATTGCCTATCCAACCCGTCACCATGGTGAGATTCATATCTCCTCTTGATTTTTTTTTTTAAAAAGCCTATAGGTAATTACGATCTGCTTCTTTGGTAGATATACAGTTGTATTCCATTTACAGTTTTTGCTCTTTTCAGTTTTATTCTTGAGCCTTTGGTTGTCATACAATGGGATTTGAGCGTACATGTGTGCTCCACTGAGTAACTTAAGGTATGTCTTCTAAATTGAGCAGAGATATAGGTTTGATATGGGTGTGTGTTTCATGTACATAGGGTGCAAAATTATATGGAGCAATAAAGAAAACTAGAAATGGAACTTATTCAAGAAAACATAATTGTGTTGATCCAATCGCTATTGGCACTAAAAGGTTAGTTTTATGTTTTGGTTGAACTTGCATTTTATCGAGGATTATATTGTTTCACTTTCTTGAGGATTATATTGTTTCACTTTCTTCTTATAACCCATCAGCAAGTAGAAAATGTTTTCTGTCATGCCAGCTTTCCGCCTAAGGTCATAGCTGAGAAGGAACAATTGATAACATGGTTTCTTGATTGCGTATAAACTTGTTTGCCTTGCTTAATCACTAAATTTATTAACTTCGTTGCAGCTTCAACAATTATGTCAAAAGAAGTCTGTCAGAAACACTGCTCATAAACAAACTACCCGAAAGGCAGTACATGCCAAGGAAAATCCTCCAAAAATTCTGGTAAGCAGAAGCTCCGTCTATTGTGGCGGCAGGAGGAGGTACATCTCATGTGAATATAGTGATGACTTTATTAACTCCCCCCCCCCCCCCCCCCAACAAACTTCTGCAAATGTATGTATCACCTCACGTTCTTGATCAGAACCTCATACTATGAGAATCGGCTAAAATATTATCTAATACAATCCCTTAGCTTACTCAACAGCCGGCACTGTTAGGAAGCTTGACTTAATGCTGATCCTTCTTTGCTCCCCACTACTACGACTTTTACAGTGTTCGATTATTTTCACAAGCAAAAGAATGTTTATGCTTATGCATATGTTTTCGAAATTGTTAGTTCTAATTCTAAACTAATAAAATAATAAAATGAGCAGTTATATGATTATGATAGCAGGATGACAGATGTTGATTTGGTACACAATAAGTTTTCTCCTTTGAAAATAAGTAATTAACTACACAATTATTAACAAAAAATCTTTAGACTAATATTTGGAAACTAAACATAACAGTTCATCTAACAGATTTTTTTTAAACAAAATTGTAAAATTCTCCAAAGAAACATTTGTCAAAAAATAGTTAAAATCAATAGACTAAACATAAAAGTTCATCTAACATATTTTGTTTTAAAAATAATAATCATATACATTAAGTTGAATTTAGACAATTTTTAGGAAATCATGTAAATATTTTAACTAACAAAAAATGGTGCCTTAAGAATGTAAAATCACTATCAATATAATTATACAAAATAGTTTAAAAATCGTTGGGAAGAGATGAACATTACTAAAAAGAAGAACCTATCAATATTATATCACAAATATAAAAAAAAAACTTTAAAGTTACAAAAGCGAAAGGATAAACTGAAAAAACAATAACTAAACTAAGGTTTAGTTATATATATAACATAAATTAAGGTTTAATAAATAAAATTTATTGTAGGTTCACAATTGTGCGGTTAACTATATATGATAAAATAATTATATATATATATATATTTATAGAACTCTTGAACACTAAAATTGTAAAGAAAAATCATAATGTTAACGAACATAAATCTTAAAATGTATAAAAAATTAAAAATTTACATTCATTCGTATATGGTATATTCAAAATCAATTTTAAAAATGTAGAAAAGTTATTAATTTTCATAACACCACTAACAAGATTTTACTTTAAGAACTCCATTAATAGTATTTGAAGTTTCAGATGAAAATTACAAAAAAAAAAAAAGAATATACATCAATACCATGTATAAGGTGACGAAAATTAATGACTGAGATGAAGAAAATAACATCAAATTAATTGTTCACATTTAGAGTGTTACAGTTGAAACGCAGCGGTTATAGTTGCGGAGGTTGCGGGAGTTTGCATATATGGGTGATTGCGATTTTTAATATCATTAAGTTTTTTTTACGACTGGTAAAGTGATGAAAAATTGTGTGTTTACGGAACATTTGTGATTGATTGATTATGAGATAATGCAGTGGTATGATAATAAATTACTAATATTAACACAATATAACATTATAAAATAACAAAAACATAATATTATGATAAACTATAAACAATATTTATTTATTTATTTTAATTTAAATGAAAGTTATAATTTTAATAAAATTTATTTTGAATATTTATATTAGAATGTTTGAAAGAATATTTTTGTTTTGATTAGTTTATATATGTATGTATATTTATATAAATTTATATGTGAAGGCTAATTATAGTTAATATTCTTAAATTAAAGTTTTTATAATATAAATTATGATATTGTTAGTTAGTTAAATTACAATAGAATATGCATATATATATGTCTATAATATTTCAATTTTAAAATTTAATTTAACATTTTAATAAAATTTCTATTTATACATCCAACCGTAATTGCAAACGCTAGCTAAAACTATTTTTTTTATTTTAAAAAGTTCGGAGAAGTTTAGAACGATTTATAGTGTTTTGTGTGATTATTGCAAAACGTGGACAACTGTTATCAGCCGCAAAACTGTTTTTGCATGTGATAGTTGGAAAAACAGTGAAACCCTTAATCTTGCTACTTATTTTTTGGTTTTAAATTCCAAATTTTATTGTGTATTGTCAAAACATATATGTTATAGAGTAATTAACAAATCATACTCTAAGTTTACTGTAAAAATAAAGAAAAAAATAAAATAAATATTATTCAACCGGTAAAAAAATTAGTATAAAAATACAAACTCAAACAATGGAAAACATTCATTAAAATATTAAATTAACATATATAAACCGCGCGTAGCGCGGTGAATAGCTCTAGTAATGTTAATAATATCTTAACAACCCGAGATCATATATTGGATGCAAAAAAAATCACCAAAAATCTTGGAAATATTATTAACTAGTGGTCTGCCGGCGCTACGCGCCGGATTTTTATATGTTGTGTTTTTTAGGAAAAAAATGTAAAGAATTCTATTGTAAGTATAAAACAATATAAGAATAAGTTCTATACTTATATAAAATTGTATACATATAGATATTAATTTATAATTTTAATGAAATCATATATTTACAGATGATTTCTAAAAAGTTATTATTTATTATTTGTTGATTTGTGTCATATTTTAAATCGGCTCAGCTTGAAATCATAGAAATTTATTAATTTATAATGTATTAATTATCGAGTATTCATTTATACAGTTTTTATTGGATATCATATATGCTTCATAGAATTTAAATATAGTTTTAGATATAATTTTAGTAAATCTTAGCAAAATATATTAAATATTAAAAAATATAAAGATAATATCATTGAGAATATTTAATAAACTAAAAAATAGTTTATTTGTTCTCATATAAAAGGTGCATATTAGTTTTAATTGTGATGAACCAAATATTTACATATAATTTTGCAAAAATTTAATTATTTATTCATTTATGTCATATTTTGAACCGGTCCAATATAGAACCAAAGAAATTTAAGGTGTTCAATAGTTTATTAATATCAATTTATAGAGTTTCTGCCATATGTGATGTTTGTAAAATCTTTGATAATTTTTCTTTAAAGAAATTTAAGGTGTTCATTAATTTATCAATATCAATTTATAGAGTTTCTACCATATGTGATTTTTGTAAAATCTTTGATAATTTTCTTTAAGAACTGGCGCTAAATATGTAAATAATGTAACGAAAAAGAATGTTACTTGTGAACAAAAAAAATGTTAAATATTATAGCTCGATACTAAAATATACATGTGCAAAGAGGGAATTATTATCTAACGCTATAGAAAAACATCTAAATATTATACATGTATTTTTATAATCTTGTAACAATTAATAAATTTAGGAAGTTGTTGAAAAGCAGGAAAAAACAAATTTATAGTTCATCATTTTCTTTTTGGCGGTTTTATTCCGTTAATCCAAAAACAAAACTTTATCTTTTCATTTTTAAGATCCAGTTCCTAAAGAAGTGATTGTTTGTATAAGAAAAACACGATAAATACCTTATATTCTATCTTCAACATCACAAGTTCCCACATTGGTTAGACAAAAGAAAAAGAATAACATGCAATTATTCTTATTTGGAAATGAGTCGGTAAATATCCTTCATCGACCACTTGAAAATTAGTCGGTAAATATCCGTCATCGACCATGACCATGGTCTGGAAAAGAACATTACCTTCAGTTCCTTGCAATATATTTATTGCTCCCTCGAAAATAAAAACTTAAGATTGCAAAAAATAAAGAAAAAGATACATAAAAACAAAGGAATCGTTGCTTAATTCTTTAGTATTCTCTTCTATTCCAATTTGTCTCTCTTCCTCCCTTTTCTCCCACAGTAAGCAAGCCCTTTTGCTTCATTGTGGCCCCAAATCATCACTTAAATCTTTGCAGCTGTATCAAAACTTCTCCAGCTTTACATCCAACACTTTCTTCTCCTTCTACTCATCTGGTTTTCTGATTCTAGCCTCGTGTTTTGCTCCCATACTCATGCCTTGGGACGGAAGCATCTGTTGATTTGGAAGCTTCAGGTGTTCTGTTCACTGAGTGGAGGGAAAAATTTGTTTCCACGCTTTTGGAGACAAATTGTCTCAGACAATGCAGCTATACGCTCAGCTAGCTGTCTAGCTCCACGATCTTGCTTGAAGGCTGGGCTCTAGAACCATACGGATCATAAACTGATGGGTACTTGCACATACCAGATTACTTTGAGTTGGCATTGACAAGAATGAACGTTCATGGAAAGTGAGATAAGCTTCATGACTCTACAACTCTGCTACCATACAAAAGTTAACTCAACATCATTTCAAGTGATACAAAAGAGTTTTTCAAGTCTCCAAATCTAAACAACTCTCTTGTGTTATAGAAAGTGGAGAACTTTAGAGTCGTGTGTTACTGAATGCTGTGATTGATCAATGGAAAGAGATTTAAAATAACAGAGTCAGAGTGATTATGCTTACATGCTGGCCTAAATAATTAATTAATTAAACTATCTTCACATACCATAAGCCCACGACATATAGTAGTCTATGTTGGTCTGGAAGATGCAATGTTAGTTTCATAACTGAGTCAGAGTGATTTTTTATCAAATTTGAGTTTCCAGAAATTTAATATGGGACGCAAGCTTAATAATTTGGATTTATACCTGGGGATCACCGGTTAAAACAAAGTCGTTAAGCTCTTTAATAGTGAGGGGTTCGATCTTTTGTGCATGGACCACCTTTGATGAGGACCCTGCCTGGTCCGCACCATCCCTAGGCAAACTGTTTTCAAATTTAAGAGGAGAACCAGTAAACGGTGAGAGGTTGTCAAGTACACCTTTCAATTGATGCGGAGTAATTTAAATTTCAAAAACAAAGTGGTAAACATTGAGGTATCGTAATAGAGCAAACCATAAAAACTTGCCGGTTGTATGCCTCTTCTTTCCCAACAGTTGTTTCACAGTCAAAGAATACACGTGTGGCGGAAGTGCCATTGAGATATAACCTCCCTGCGAACAATGTTTACGCGTTGTCAAGAAAAATAGGAGTGTGAAACTCGAATTTAATAACTACTACATGAACTAATAATCTACCTGAAGCTATCTTTGGATTGATGCTCGTTATTAGGACAATCTTAGGCTCTTTTCCTTAAGCATCAAACTTCTCATGGAAGGCAAGGGCCAAATCATCGAACATACTCACACAAATTCATCATCACTTTTAAAAAAATAATCGGAACAAAAGGAAAACAAAGTGTTAGTTTAACAGCCCCTGTAAAAGCAAATGGATTGGAATCAACGCTGCTTACGTTGCCATTCTTAGTGTTAGCATAACCCGAGGTGCCCCTGCAAGACGGTCAGTGATGGTGCTCTTCAGCGCACGGAGCTCACCCCTAACGTCTACCAAATCATACGGAGCGAACATTAATTGTCTTATAAGGAAACAACACCACAAACCGGTTTCATTAATAGTGACGAAAATTACCCGGCATCTGTTTCCCACTATTTGCTAGGTCACGGATCTGTTCAAACGGTCGGAATCGGAAATATTCTGTAGGTATTATCCTTGAAGTGGTTAGTAGCTTCTGGAGATCAGTTCCCTCGTTGAAACGAATGGCGACAGGACCGTCAGAGATCTGTATTTTGTACTGCTGCGTGTGACGTCAAAACCGCTCATACGGTACAGCGATCCTTCAGATAAACGGAACCGGATAGTTTGCTGTAATGAAGCAGGAACTGACCCTTGCACCAGCATCGACTGTTTATATCAACCAATGGAAAGTATTAGCGAAGCCTAAAACAAATAAAATCTAACGTGTTTGTGTTTTGTGCAATTGTAAAAACCAACTAACAGAAGGAGTTCAATAAATATTATTTAGGAAATTAGAAACCGATCCAAGGGAAAAGATGATTGTATGAGATTGGAAAAGAACTTACATTCTCGTCGATCATCAACATCTCGATGCTCATAAGCTGATTTTTTTTGTTTAGGTTCCTGGCTTCCCAGAATCGGAGGAGCCTGATCTCAGCCGAATTGGAGCATCTCCCAGCCTTCAAGTCAGAAAGTAACGTGTAGGAATTAGCCATCGCTAGCTTCTTTTGGAGTTGCAGAGTTTGTAGCTTTCTCTTGTCTTGGGGTTTTCATCTTAACAGGGACGGATATTTATATTTGAGCTGCAATCGGTTTGCCAGAAAGCGAAGAGTTGCGAAGCAAACTTAAAGAGAGAGGCGTGGATTACTCGAATCTAAACTCGGAAATAAATGAAAAAGTTTAGGAGAGGGGAGGCGTTACAGTTAAGAATCGGTAAGAGTCTCTCTGATTTTACAGAGGAATGGCATGGATGAGAAGCACAAAAGTCGGGGAAGAAGAAAGAATTTTTTTTATAGTTCTCGAAATAAACACCGCCCTAGAGCTAAATCGCGAGTTGGGCTTAAAGTTGATTACCCAGCCCATTACGTTTGTTTTTTTTTTTAAAACATTCGGCCAACCATAGGGCGACACGTGTTGAATAACCCCCTATCAACAGAACGACGTGGACGCTTGTGTGAGCAGATTTGTGTACTTTATTATTATAGATTAGAAATATACAGTTCAGTATATTTGACTTCCTATTTACTATCATTTTCAAATTTAAAAACAACAAAGAAGGAAAATATAATGGGAAATTTCCAGAAATAACACTTTTAAGATATTACTTTTCAATTTTACAGTAACCAACTTTACCATTAAAATTTTAATAGGCAAAATACTATTATACCCTTAACTAATAAACTTAACAATTTCAATAAGGCTTTGATGGATTAGGGTTTAGAGTTTATAATTTAAAGTTTAAGATTTCAAATTTAGGGTTTAGAATTTAGGGTTTAAAATTTTGAAATTAGGTTTAGGGTTCAGGGTATAGAATTTTGGGTTTAGGGTTTATAATTTAGGGTTTAGGGTTTAGAATTTAGGGTTTAAGATTTCTAATTTAGGGTTTAGGGTTTAGAATTTAGGGTTTAGGGCTTAGGGTTTAGAATTTAGGGTGTAAGATTTTGAATTTTGGGTTTAGGGTTTAGGGTATAGAATTTAGGGTTTAGGGTTTAGAATTTAGCGTTTAGGGTTCAGAATTTAGGGTTTAGAGTTTAGAGTTTAGGGTTTGAATTTCAAAATAGTATAATTGGAAAAAATAATTTTTCTGTTTTTTGTTTTTTGTGTTTTTTATTTATTTAAATATTTATTTTATATATATAAAGAACAAGGGTATAAGTGTCTTTTATCCTTTAATGAAAAGTGTATTTTTGAAAATATTCATTTGTTGATGGTAAAAATGAAAAGTAGTACCACCAAAGTAGTATAAGTGAAATTTTCCCATATATAATATACATGAAAAGGAAATGTTTTGTTATATACACATTAATAAAGCTAAACCACCGCTGAGCCCATTTGGATCAACGGTAAACAACCGATCAAATCCTAAGTCGGCATGAATGTCTTGCAGCAGCAGCCTCCTAATCTTAGTTTCAGAAAGGAACACTAGTCCTGGGCGATGCTTCTGACACATCTCCGTAAGGCGTCGAACTGTGAGGTCAGTCCCCATCCCTCGACAGTTCCTCCCTCGACAGTTCCAACTGAGTGTCCTCATGGATGAAAGTGGGATGGGATTTTGGATCCCACCGAACCACTTCCTTTGTTTGACTTAGATCGATTCTCTCTAGCAGTATGACTAGGGTGTTTTGGTTTAGCCTTCTCACCAGTGAACCTCTGAGTAGTAGAACCTAGGGCTCACAACCGAGGAGATCCCCGACGGAGAACCTCTTTCTTCCTAGGAGTTCGCCTATTCCCACTCTTAGCTCCTTTCAGATTCCTCGAGCTTCTTTCTTTCTCAGTTTGGCGTGAGACATGATGTGTCACAGTTGCCTCCAATTCCATTAATTCCTCATCAAAAAGATCATCATCCGCATCTATTCCTCCTTCATCCTCATGTGATACAGGTCTCGTATCAGATAAGGCCTCAATTACTCGTGCATCCTCCTCTTCAGGCTCAGTAATATCAGTGTGATATGTCAAAGAACGCATCACACTTTTGGAACGGACCGTCACATTTTCCTGCATATTTGGGGATGTGATTTTGCTAGCAAACTGTTTCTTCTGTGGATTCGCATGTAACTCTGTTGACTCAGCAAATTGACCCGGCGCCTTGTTTGACAAGGTCTCAGCTCCCACCACATTCTCTTGATCATAAGGATCTAAAGAAGAGCTCCTCTCTATCCTCTCATCACAAGTAGTGTTCCCACCAGGTACAGCGAACCCCTAAGCTTCATGTCTGCCGCCATCTCGTCGGGAATATAGGACTCCGGTTGCAGCCCGATCATCAGAAGCTCTAACTCGTGTATTCCTGCCCATATGTTCACTCCGTGTAAAAGCATTATGAGATGCTCGAGGAGAACAAGAGTCTCTATTCTCTGCAGTGGCCTTCACCTCAGGCTTTTCATACCTGCGGCCTGGTTGATACACTGAAGATACACCTTGATGATTTGCCAATTTATACCGAGCTGGTTCCAATCCCTTCACCGGTTCCAAACCATCCACGCTTTTACCCTTCTTCCTTTACTCCAATCTATCACTCCTATTGCTCAATGCAGTGTTTTGACGCCTTTCATTGACCCTCCTTTGTGGTGAAACACCTCCACTCCGCTCAAACCTCGTGGAGCCCGTCTGAGCCTCCATTACCTTTCTTTTTACAGAATCTCGACTAGAAGCAAAAGACTTCACAGTTCGATGATCATCATGATGGCGACTGTAGGGAACCTGAGCATGTCTACTCTATTTCTCATAGCGTCTCCGCATCACCCTAGCACGGCTTTGAGCATCTGAGCCATGCTGATGTGTGAGGCCAGCACCTTTATTACGATAATCTCCAGAATTCCCATCAGAATGTGCAATACGAACATCTGTATTGTAGTTAGACTCATCTTGCCTCTGTTGTCGCGTTGAAATCTTTTCATCCTCTAAATGTGACGCCCCAACACGATCAAAAACAGAGGTTGCTTGTGGCTTTAAAGGACAATGATCCTTCTCATGGGTCAAGAAACCACAAATTGTGCAATGCTTAAAGAGGAGATCATAGGATATCTTGATTGTGACTGCATCACCTTCTGAGTTTGTAGCCATTCTTGTGAACTTTAGAGGTTTACGCGTATCTATATCAATAAGAATCCGACCCTCTTCAAGTTCCAGCGTATCAACCCGCCCCAAAGTGTCACCACGACCTCGCAAATTATTTATCATCCACAAGTGCAAAGGCACTCCAGTTATAGTCACCCAAAAGGGGATAGTCCATGGGTAATCATCGTGAACAATAGGCTCCCACCTCACCATCACAAACATGCAGAAATTGTAGTGGAAAGGACCTTGCCGTAAGACTTCATTGAGATCATCTTCAGTAGTAAAATTTAACAAAAAATTTCCATTACCCAAGTCATACGTTGTGATTCGATCTTGCATTCCCCACTGCGTCAACATATAGTTGATTAATTTGTCAACCTTTTGCTTCCTCGGATTCAGTATATTTCCGATCAGAGAGAGCCTGAACTCCTGGAGTACGTGAGCATCCTCATCATCGATTAGCCGGAAGGGCTCATCCTCTTCGACACTCACAATTCCTTTTCCTTTAGTATCAGCAGAAGTACCCTCAGCATTCGACCTCATACTCGGTGTTTAAACAATAGACCCAACACCTACTCAGAATGCTCAAAGATAACAACTCAGTGTTTAAAAAATAAACTCAGGATACTCTGTTTTCAGTGAGAACAAAACAGAGTAACCCAACAGAGATCGAAGAAATCAAAAGACGACACCAAACTCGACTCGGCAAGATCAAAGGATCCTAACTCAGCGACCAACAGAGATCAGTAAACCCAGAGAAACATCTCAAACATTCACCGGATCCGTTGTAGAATAATCAATGGAATGATTATTTTTTATGGATGATTTTCAAGTTAAGGTTTTATTTTCGAATAATAGAATGATTGATATTGAGGCAGTCATTGATGGAATAAAAGTCTATATGACATTTTTTTATGGGGATCCTGTAGTAGAACGAAGAGAATTAGTTTGGGAACGTCTTACGCGTTTCTCAACAACAAGAAATGGACCTTGGTTTATGATTGGCGATTTTAATGAAATTACTTGTCATGAAGAAAAGGAAGGTGGCAGACAATGTACAGATAGCTCTTTCTTGCCTTTCAAGCAGATGCTCAGTGACTGTGGTATGGTGGAGTTTCCTTTCACAGGAAACATGCTTTCGTGGGTAGGAAGAAGAGCAGGAAATGCTACTGTTAGATGTCGACTTGATAGGGCTGTGGGTAATGAAGACTGGCATGAGAAATTTCTTCATTCTAAAGTGCAGTATCTAAGGCTTGGGGTTCGGATCATCGTCCAATCCTGGCAGACATTCTTAAAAAGAAGCCACAGAGATCGAAAAACTTCAAATTTGATAAGCGATGGCTTCAGAATGAGGAACTCAGACAGATTATACTTGAAGGATGGAAATCACCAGATTTACCACCGGGTGCAAGTATTATGGAGCATATTACTAGCTGTAGGCGAGCGTTATGTGATTGGAAAAGGCAACAAAATCTGAATTCAAAGAAAAGTGTAGAGGAATTAAAGGAAAAGGTGGATCGTTTATCCTCCAATGATGATGCCACTACAGAGGAGATAGTGGCGGCTCTAAAAGAATTGTCTGATGCCCTTAAGGCAGAGAAATTATTCTGGAAACAGAAGTGTAGGGTATTCTGGTTAAGGGAGGGTGATAGAAACACTAAATTTTTTCATGCTTTAACGAAGCAGCGAAGAGCGCGGAACAGGATAACCCAACTATTAGATGCAGATGGGAATGTTGTGGAGGATGAGGAAGGCCTGGTAGCAATTGTTACTAGTTACTTTCGCCAAATCTTCCAATCGTCGAACCCTGAGGAGATTGAGGAGGCACTTTCAGAAGTTACTACTACAATCACGTCTGCAGACAATGAGGGTCTCACAGCTCCGGTTTCAGAGTGGGAAGTCAAATTAGCACTCTTTGCTATGCATCCTGAGAAAGCTCCTG